GGAGTTTCCTGTTCTAATCTTCTAGTCTCAGACAAACAAAAAAGTCATACTTTCTCTGGGCCTCTTTATCAGATTTAGAGGACGAGCTGAGAGTGAAGAGAAGGGCTGGACCCCCAGCTGGGGCAGGGGACATTAGACCACACTCTTTCCCATGGCTAGAGGGCTCTCAAGATCTCACCTGTCTGCATCCTCTCCCGCTACAACTTTATCAAGCCAGGCAGTTCTCAGGCCACACTTGCCTTCTTGCCTCTCACCATGCTATTGGTGCTGCTCCCTCTGTCCCACAGGGATGCCTGTGTCATGCTTCTTGACTTGGGGGGCGCTTCCTTGAGTTTCCACTTTTAAGCTGTACATTTAGGTTTTGTGCACTTTTCTATATATGTATTATATTTCACAATGAAAAGGGTTTTAAAAGTATCTATATTTAGGGGCCAGCCTGGTAGCGCAGCGGTTAAGCGCGCAGGTTCTGCTTCAGCAGCCTGGGGTTTGCCGGTTCGGATCCTGGGTGCGGACATGGCATTGCGTGGCAAGCCATGCTGTGGTAGGCATCCCACATAGTAAGCAGAGGAAGATGGGCATGGATGTTAGCTCAGGGCCAGTCTTCCTCAGCAAAAAGAGGATTGGCAGCAGGTGTTGGCTCAGGGCTAACCTTCCTCAAAAAAATAAAGTATATAAAAGCACTTAATATATAATTATTAAATTTTATTATAATAAAATTTTATTATATATTTATAAATATATATATTTATAATATAAATTTTATTATAATAAAATTACAATAATTATATATAATATAAATATATTAGAGTATTTTATATATGCGTTTTTTCTGGGAACATAACAGTAAACTATTAATGAGGGATCTTTAATCTTTTACTTAGTACAATTCCATATTTAAAGAAATTAAATTAGTATTTTCAAAGCCTGGAAAATGACCAGATAGCAGGAAAAGTCTGGGCTGACTCCAAATGACCAGAGATACTCTCACAGTCTTGGCCGCCTCTAGAGAGATTTCAGCACGCAGCTGTCTCCTCTCTGGACCACAGACAACCGCCCTTTGATCTGCTGCCTTCTACCCGCATTGCAGACTGTCAGTTACTAACAGGGTTTTGAACCTCAGGACCTAACCTTTGCCAGGTCTGGCTCTGCACACTCCAGGGGCTTTCTAAGGATCTCAAAGAGCAATAGGAATTTAAAAAAATTACTAAAAAAATTATTCAAACACAATTAGTTCTAATTCAGTTTCCCTTTAAAAAGAAAGACATAGTATTTTCCATGGGAGATAGAGGCTTAAAAAGGAAGGAAGCTATTCCTGTTTTGAGAGCATCATAAAATACATTTATTGAGCACTTCTAGTCCATAAATCAATGAGTGAAGTGCTGCCTGTGTATCCTAACTTGGCTAGGTCAGAAGTGTGAGCACAGGCCGAGGAAGCAGGTCTAATAACTGGCAGGGGGCACCGGGGATCAGAAGTGAAGCAGCAAGTGGAATGACACTGTTGGTGACACAAGCTCATCCGAACGTGGGTGGTGGCAATGCAGCAGAATCCAGGTCCTGGAAGAGCTTGGTGGAAGACGGGACCATGGGTACCAGCAAAGGGCCTGTGGTGGGGACCCATGTAGGAGAGCAGGAAGGAGGGATAAGAAAACAGGGCCAAACAAGAATTGGGTGAGGCCAGAGGAACAAGATCAGGGCTCAGGTACTGGAATCATAACTCATTTTCCCTCCCATTCATGGCACAGAAAGCAAAGAGAAAAAACATTTTTGTGTTGCTGTGACACTGACAGCTGGGACTCTTTCACCCAGGGCCAATACAGATCTTAGATAGGACTCAGGGCAGTCCTGGGGAAGAGTTCATCTGCTCAGTGTCAAGTAGGCTGGGCAGACCCTCCCACTCTTTCACTCCCAATTACTAGAGAATGATGAATCCTGATCGGAGGGGAAAAAGCAAAGAAGCACATGATTTTATATACAGAATTAACCAAAACTTAGGAATTGGTGATACCAAGTACCTCTAAAAGTGGGGGTAGAGGTGAAGCATACATGAGAGGATTGGCTAAAAGTCTATTTAAGAATCAGACTTTAAGGGCCGGCCCATGGCCAAGTGGTTAAGCTTGTGCACTCCACTTCAGCGGCACAGGGTTTTGCCGGTTCGTATCCTGAGGATGGACATGGCACCGCTCATCAAGCTATGCTGAGGTGACGTCCCACATGCCACAGCTAGAAGGACCCACAACTAGAATATACAACTATGTACTGGGGTGCTTTGGGGAGAAGAAGGAAAAATTGGAAAAAAAAAAACTAAAAAGAAAAGAATTAGACTTTATATGTTTGCTTTATGAAAATACATCAAGCTTTTGATTTGTGTACTTTTCTATATGTATTCTATACTTCAATAAAAAGTAAAAAATAAAACGAGTTAAAGGGTTGGCCTGTTGGCATAGTAGCTAAGTTCGCATGTTCTGCTTCAGTGGCCTGGGGTTTGCAGGTTCGGATCCCAGGCGAGGACCTACATGCTACTCATCAAGCCATGCTGTGGCAGTGTCCCACGTACAAAATAGAGGAAGACTGGCACAGATGTTAGCTCAGGGCCAATCTTCCTCAAGCAAAAAGAGGAAGACTGGCAAGAGAAGTTAGCTCAGGGCTAATCTTCCTCACAAAAAAAGAAAGAAAGAAAAGAGTTAAACCCTACCTCTCCTCCCAACTCTGAGCAACAGGGCAAAGATCACTCCCATACCCTGGCAGAAATCTGGAAGTTTGTTCCTTGGAGAGGGTTTTTGAAGTGAACGTTTTTGACTGAGAGTTTGAGAGATATCATTTACAGTTGATGTGGGAGCACCAAAACGGGAACGGGGGTTAAGTAAAAGTCTACATACTCAGTGCCAAGACTCCCAGCCTTCTTCACCAACTTGGTTCCCAGACATCAGTAGCCAGCCCTGTCTGGGAAAGATGAGCCTCAAAAAGGGATCCAAAGTTACTGACTGTGGGTATTCCCCAACGAATGGCCCAGGCAGATTGACCCACAAAGAATCCTACAGTCAACAAGGCCCTCCCAAAGGCACAGAGCTCCACTGGGTTTTGTATCCTCACTCTTTACAATGAGTTGACAGTCAAGGATCACCTGAAAGATAGAGACCAAAGTAAAGAAACAGAAAAAGCAAAACAAAGAAAAGACAGGCATGAAGGGAGAAAGAAACTTCAAAAACAAATCATGAATATCTTCAAAGAGATTCATTCATTCATCCTTTCACTCAACAAAGATTATTCGTGCCCCACGTGCCAACCATGGTTCTCAGGTGCTGGGAACAACAGTGAAGAAAACAGAGATGTTTGCCTTTATAAGCTAATATTCCAACTGAGGTGGGGTGAGGGAGAGAAATGGAACAGAAAACAATGAAGAATACACAGAATAAATAAGTAAAATTAAATAGTGAGTTAGAAAGTGACAGCTGCTCTGGAAAAGAAGAGAGGAGCAGAGAAGGGAGACCAGGAGTGCTGTCTAGGGATGGGATGGATGCATGGGCACATTCCATTATTAAACAGAGGCCACGGCAGGCATACTGAGAAGATGTGACTTGAGCAAATCTTGAAGGAGTGAGGGATTCTAGGCAGAAGGAACAGCTAAAGCCAAGGCGCTAAGGTGGGAGTGGGCCCAGAGAAGTCAAAGAACACTGAGGAGGCCAGTGTGGCTGCAGCAGAGTGAACAAGGAGAGGCTGATGACATCAGGGAGGCAACAGGAAAGAGATCACGTTGGGCCTCGGTGGCCATGGCAGGGATGCAGGCTTTCCCTGTGAGTCAGATGTGGAGCCACTGTGGAATTTTTAGAGGAATGACATGATATGACATATTTTAAAAGGATAGCTTTGACTGCTGTGCTGATAAGTATATATTTTATGTTGATAAGAGAGCATATTGAGATAAGGAAAGATGTTATAGCCAAAAATAAAAATTGATTTCTATTAAAAGAATACACAGCCCATTAAAAAGAGTCCTTGGACATTAAAACCATGATACCAAAAAACCAAAAAGTATAACAGAAGAGTTGGAAGATAAAGCTGAGGAAATCAGAATTCCATAAAAGAGATCAAAAAGACAAAATATGGAAAGACGACAAAAATGTGGAAAATAGGAGAGAAAAGATAAGAACCAACATCAAAAGAAACAATTCCAGAAACAGAAAACAGTATGTTGCAAAATCCCAGAGGAAGCGGGTGATTCCTGTTTAATGCCTAGAGGTGCTATGTCTATAGTAGGAGCCAAAAAATGTTTCATGGATGAACTTAGAAGTAGAATTCAAGGTGAATTAATAGGCAAATTTAAATCAAAGTCTGGAGATAAGACCAAGGTTAGATTAAAGCTGTGACTGATAATAGTTAAGACATGCAGAGGACCTAATTGTATCAAGATGGAGCTGCTTTCAAAGCTTTGTGGTCTACTTTTTTTTGGTTAATGTTTAACCTGAGTTGTTTTAATAAAGAGATATTTTGCCCCCAAAGTACTCTCAAGTATCAAGTTTCAGTGACCTGGGCCTTGGTAAGTAAATGTGGGTCCACCCAGCCAACACCCTATGTGACTTATAGACTTTGTGCCTGCCTTCTTTGTTTTTCTAGATTGTAAAATCCTATCTTTGTGCCTTGAGAAGTTAAATTATTTTATTGCCAATCAAGAGATAAGACCGGAAGAGAGAAGACTCCCTGGCCCCCTGCTGGAGGTGGGAAGCAAACACCTGGGAGAGCAACAGTAGATCATCTTGAGTCAATGTTCAGAACGAGCAGGAACCCTTGATCTCGGGCCAGCATCATTCCATAGCTCTTTTGGTCTCACTGTAGTTTCACTCCCCATTAAATGTGGAAAATACTTGGCACGTTCTGACTTCCCCAAGAAGGGGAAAGAGAGCTCTCACCAAGTCCCCTGTCAGCCAGCTCTTAAATCCTAAAACGTTGAAATCACAACTACAGGGACAGGAGTCTGTAGCTATGGCCAGAGAGATTTGACTTACCCCGAGCTCCTCACAGTGGCTCCTCTCGCCTGATGCAAGTCACCTTCTGCCAGGTCACAAACCCTCCTAGGCTGTGCTGATGATTCTGGTGCTGCCACCTTTTCAGTTGCAGGGGGATACTGGTCCTGTGCGTGGTGGTCTCAGAGCAAACTCTGCAGATATTAATCCTGGAGAACACCCTCTGCAAGGACTAGCATCGTGGCCAAGACACTTGATCCCTCAGATTAGAGCATTTTCAAGTTGGCTTTTCTAAGTTAGTGAGAATGAAAGAATGGAGGCATCAGAGACCCACAGAGACAGGGAGGAAAGCCAGTGCCTCACCTTCAGGGTAAACTCCTGAGCCACCAGGTGTGCTTCCCACAGAAACTGAGAGAAAGCATACCCTGCCTCTCACTGGGTCACAAATTACACATTGTTCCCTTCCCCTGGGCTTCAGAGAACCAAAGCATGCGTCCACTCCTGCCCCAGACCTTCCCCATCTGTGGGACTTCTGTTTTGATTTCTCACTACTCACAAAAATGACCTTCACAAAGCCTTCTTGTGTTGTTTCTGTGCTATTTCCATGAAGTTTCTTTGAGACCCTGGGAGTTGGGACTGGCCCAGTGGTACAGTGGTTAAGTTCACGTGCTCTGTTTTGGTGGCCCAGGATTCACTGGTTTGGATCCTGGGGGCGGACGTACACACCGCTGATCAAGCCATGCTGTGGCAGGCGTCCCATGCATAAAGTGGAGGAAGATGGGCACAGATGTTAGCTCAGGGCTACTCTTCCTCAAAAAAAAAAAAAAAAAGACCCTGGGAGTTACCATTTTAGCTGGAGAAAAATTGTGGATCAAGGAGGAGAGGTTATACCTTCTGGGTGCCCCCCAACCCGCAGCCATTTGGCTCTGCCAGAGGTCCAGTCCCAAAATGAAGAAATGGACTAGGAGGAACATGGCACCCCAGGGCAGTGCTTCTCAGATACTGAAACATAATGGACCCTTTAGAGGTCTTGTTTAAATGCAGGTTCTGATTTAGCAGGGCTGAGGCAAGCTCAAGATTCTGTGTTTAGGGGCCGGCCCACTGGTGCAGCGGTTAAATTTGCACGTTCTGCTTTGGCTGCCTGGTTCAGATCCTGGGTGTGGACCTACGCACTGCTTGTGAAGCCATGCTGTGGCAGGCATCCCACATAAAACAGAGGAAGATGGGCACGGATGTTATCTCAGGGCCAGTCTTCCTGAGCAAAAAGAGGAGGATTGGCATCAGATGTTAGCTCAGGGCTAATCGTCCTCCAAAAAAAAAAAAAAGCAGATTCTGTTTCTAACAAGCTCCCAAGTGATGCTGATGCTCCTGGTCCACAGACCACACTGAATAGCAAGGGGCAAGACTGAGGAGAGGAAGTGCAGAAAGAGAAGAGGTGAAAATAGGAACCACAGAAAGAAGCACGAGGGAAGAACACGCTCCAGGGAGAGGTGGTTTGATCTCCAGCTGCACCCCCTGTCTTCATGGCCTTCCCTGCAGGGCATTCCAGCGCAGGGGCCTCTGTGACCCACATGTTGGCTACAGTGGGTGCTTTGGTCCTCCCCCTTCCTCTCTTGTTCCAGAGGACTGGAGCACACAGCTTCCCAGGCCCAGCTGCTTGCTAAAGAAGGGCCAGGAGACTTCCTACGGTCTCCTGTAGACAGTTCTGTCAGGGAAGAGAGCCCTGCCTTGGCTGGGGCTGACGGCCGTGCTAGCTCCGGCCCCTGGATCTGGGGTGGTTCCGCCATGAAGCTGCAGATTGTTCAGCTTGGCTCCACAGATAACAAATGCACTCTTCTCCTCTCTTCCTCAGCTTCATCCCAGGCACTACTCTCTGAAGCCAAAGGAATGACCTTCTTCACTTTCTCAAACAACTTCTCTTTACTGAATGCTTACTATGTGCCAGGCTCTGTGCAAAGCACCCTCCCACATTGTTTTATTTAATCCTCACAATTGCCCTATGGGGTAGGAACTGGTTTACCCCCACCTTACAAGATAAGGAAACTGAGGCTCCAGTGGTAAATTGCAATACCTTGTAATAAGCTACAAGATTCCTTCTATGCCCTTCCCACCCAGGCACTAATCCATGACTCAACTACACACCTGCAAAACCAGGACCCTCTGGGACTGAATCTAGCAGAGAAGTCCCGGGATAGGAATATAGATAATAGACCAATGCAACCAAGGTGGGTGGATTTGGTCTATGACCCTTTGAAGGTCAGCAGAAAAGTCAAGGCTGTTACTGTCCCTCTACCAGTCTCCCTCACCGCACCACTAACAGGAAGATCTCATGTGCCAGCTGGCCAGGATGTTGAACGACCCTAGAGGAGACGACTTGCAGGTGGTTGTGAATTGGACTCACTGGCCTAAGCAGAGGGTGCCAGGCAGAGACTTGACTCACCAGGTAGCACCAAATCTCTTTGAAAAGAAGCTGGCCTGCCAGGGAGCTGATGGAGGGTCATTTAGGAAAGTCTGAATCACATGGTACCAGCCCACATATCCATACCTCAAAGGAACATGGTGTCCTGGGAAGGAAATGCACTTTCTGAGGCAAAGAATTGATAATCAATCTATAAATCAACATTGGGGTGAGTTTATTAAGAGCCAGATCTGAGGACTAGCCCAGGGCCTTCCTTCCCCAAGGAAGGAAGGGCACCAAAGTGGGGTGTACAGAGTGGTTATATACCATCTCGGAACAAACAGCATATGTCACACATGATAGGAATGTCCCATTTACAACTGTCACAAGATGCTTAGCTGGCACAGCAGATCAGTGGTCAGCAGGTGAGTGTTCACGAAGTGAGCACAGCAGGTTGGTAATTAATCCTTAGTTCCCAGGAAGAGATGCTTATCCTTAAAGAAACGCTGATAAGGGGGGAAGTTACACCCCTATCTTTAGGGGCATCATTCTTGTCTTTGGGACATAGTAAATATTTAAAGCAGACATACAATGCATGCTCAACAGGCCTCGTCAGGCCCTTTTGGAAAAACAAGGTCAGGCTGAATTAGTTTCAAACCAAATGGCTTCCTCATATACTCCAATATATCCTATTACTTTTCATTTACTTATCACACTCTTGAATCCGGTTCTTCATTCAATAAACCTAAATGCCCACAAGCACTGTGCTAGACTTTGTGGGACCGTAAGACATGCTCTTTGCCCTTAATGAAGAAAATTAGCAGGCTGGGTAAAAAATTAACTGAGTGGTGGGGACTGCAGTAATCTGGGGAATTCTGCTCAGCCAAAGCCTCTTGACTTTCTTGTTCTAGTTGGTTGCAGCCTCTCAGTAACAAAGAAAAATCTATTGATTTTTCAAGAAAAGCCCCAAATCAAGATCATGTGAACCTTTCCATTTCTAAAAACACAATGCAGGCCAAAATCTGTGGCCACTAGTCTGCAACCTCTGCTCCTCACTGACCAAGCCCTATCTTGTCAAGCCCTGTTCTACCCTCAGCATCTAAAAATTCCTGGTAGAAACGAAGTGGTCAATGTGCTTCTGGCACAATGACCCGGTGAAGCTCATCCAGGGGCAATGGGTTTGGAATTGCCATCATACATGGAACAGCTGATGCAACTGGGGAGGAGTTTTAGCCTCAGAAATGACTGAGACATACAAGAGTTGTTGCCAATAAGAAAACCCTCATAGAGAATTATGTTAAGTGAAATAAGCCAGCGAGAGAAAGATAATCTGTGTATGACTCCACTCATATGAGGAATTTAAAACTATGGACCAAGAACAGTTTAGTGGATACCAGGGGAAAGGTGGGGTGGGGGGTGGGCACAAAGGGTGAAGTGGTGCACCTACAACATGACTAACATTAATGTACAATTGAAATTTCACAAGATTGTAACCTATCAATAACTCAATAAAAAATTTTAAAAAAAATAATAAAAAAAAAAAAAGAAAACCCTCATAAAGCTAAGGCACATGATTTGGCCAACACTTTAAAGAGGGGAGGGAGGGGGAGAAGGCAGCTTTTAGGTAAAACATACATTTCACAATTGACCTTGGTCCCCACTACTACTGTCCATACCTCTACATCCCCCCATTTCTTGGTTCAGCCCCTAAAGACATTTGGCTTTCACACTTCGTAAAGAGAATTCAGGCTTTGCCTAAGTTTGAGTCCTGAATATCCAACCTACTACCTCAGAATCTCATCCAACTCAGGGTTTTTAAAAGGATTAAAATGAAATAGAGTATGTAATCAAAGTGCTTGGCCACATGTCTGGCAGAGGCCACATGTCTGGCAGAGAAACATTTACCATTATGATGGAAGTTTAGATGTTTTCTATAAAGCACTAGAATATACAATTACTGTTAATGCATAGTTACAGGGAATCCGACTTTGGCTTAATAAACAATACTTCTTTAACAATCCAAACTGGAATGAGATTATGAGCCTGTTCCTCAGGGGACATCTGAGAGGGGATTCCTGCTCCAGGAACCTAACTTTTAAGGTCTCTGTTCTTAGGACCCTATGACTGCATGCACAGCACGGAAAACTCTATTTATAATGTACATTAAAAAGAATGTGTTAATCTCCATGCATATGGAAAGATATACAAAATACAGTAGGTGGAAAAAAAGAAATTTTAACTATACATGGGAGGCCCAGTTTTTTAAAAAAGAACATATACGTTTATGTGCTTAGAACATTTCTGGAAGAGTATACAAGAAACTTAATAAGATAACCTTGGGGACTGGGCTGGAGGAACAAATGTTTACTACCCCCTCACCCATCAAATGCTCACTTTTCACTTTACACACTTCTGTTACATTTTGATTTTTTTTTCTCTTACTAGCAGCATCATTCTCATAAAAAGGGCCAAATAATTCGGTTTGGCCAAAACCTCCTGGTCTGAGCTTTGCTTTGCAAACACTGCCCAGGATAAAGCTTTATATGTTTCCTCACACCTTCACTGTCAAGGCCCAAGAACTTTAACTAGACTACTGGAATCCCCAGCCTACCCTCCCATTACCAAACAGACCTAACCTTGGGGGCTACTTCAGGTCACCCTCTCTTTTTCGTCCTTCATTTCCTGAGTCCTATTTTTTTCCATATGCACTCACTTGGTAGGTGATCTCAGCCAGCCCCTGGGCTCTCAGATATTGTCCCAATACTGACTCCTAAATTTCTCTCTCCAGGATAGCCTCTCTCCCTGAACTCCAAACCTGCACACTACAATTGCCCACTCAACATCTCCACTGGGATGCCAAGTAGTATCTAAAATTTAACACATCCAAAGTTGAACTCATCTTCCCCAATAAACTTGCTCTACCCACAGCCCTCCAAATCTCCAAAGCCATCCCTCTGATAGCACTTTGAGGCTTCTAGTCACCCATGTCCACAACCTCAGAGTAAAACAACAATTGGAAAGCATTCTGACCCACGATGCCAGATATCTAAAAATTAAGGTAGTCCTGGGTATTGGGATCAAAAATATCATATAATCATTAAAATGTTTTCTGAAATATGTTTAAAGTTAACTCTTTGTTTTTGGTGAGGAAAATTAGCCCTGAGCTAACATCTGTTGCCAATCTTCTTCTTTTCGCTGGAGGAAGATTGTCCCTGAGCTAACATGTGCACCAATCTTCCTCTATTTTGTATATGGGATACTGCCACAGCATGGCTTGACGAGTGGTGTGTGGGTCTGTGCCCAGGATCTGAACCTGCAAACCCTAGGCCGCCAAAGCAGAACATGCAAATGTAACCACTACGTCACCCAGTCGGCCCCCTAAAGTTAACTCATTTTAAGTCTAGGATGTAGATTTTAACATTTTAATTTCTTTTAACTATAAGACGCTTTTTGCAAGCTGGAAACAGAATCAAACTAAGGCAGTCCAGTCCTCTAGGGATCCAGGCCAAGTCTTGTGATCTTCAGCAGAATGACGACATAATACAAGGTGCTAACAACGATGTTATGAACTCTAAATAATAGCCACTTATCTATATTTTTCCTTAGGAAACAGCCAAAAGTCCAGTCCTTAAAGGCATGATATACAGTACATCTTGATCTACAAAGGACAGAATGACCATAATTATATGCTGGCCAACCTATCAGTAAACCAGATCAGAGATGGCCAAGGATTGGTGAAGACAGAAAGTGTTTACATTTTGAAAACTTGCTCTGAGGTTTAAAAAATTCCTGGTTGCTGGTTAATAAGAAAGCAAGTAAAAAATATTACAGATGCACCCACAGTGATATCTGATTTTGCCAAGGTCTTCCACTAGAACGCAAAGTTAAGAGATGAATACAGGGGATAAGATACTTAGGTATTTTCAAAATAAATTACTTAGTAATAAGAAATTTGACACACTATATTCTTCCATTTGTCACAAGAACAAATTGATGATGAGAACTATTTAAAGAAATGCTCAGTTCTAGAAAGGGTGGTGGCAGCAACACTTTCCACTACAGAGTAACCTCCTGCTTTCCCATAACACTGCTACTCTCCCATGATACATATTCATGTGGAATACACTCATCATGAGCTTCTGCCAGGGCCAGGAGACGAAAAATAGAGCATGTCCTAATTAGCTATTTGTAAGCTCAGTTAACATCTTTAGGATAGACCCACAAAATCTGGCCATTGTTTTGTTAACATCTGCAAACTGCAGAATTCCTCAGCCCTTAGTCATAGCTTCTGCTCAAAGTCTTAAAGCTGGGCTCAGCCATGTGTGTGACTCTTCTCCTCAGGGCTGATGTGGGTGCTAGTCATCAAAGTCTGGAATGTCATCGTAGGAGTAACCCCGGTAGCCTTTGTATGCATAGAAGGCGATGCGCAGGTGGTAAAATCCTGGCAGGAACATCAAGATGCCAATGATCAGGAAGGGAACGGCCTGGTTTGCCTCCTGGTGGCAGAAGGAGGCAAATGCATTAGTACCATACAAGTTACAAATTTTAAAAGAAAATAAAGCCATGGGTCCAATTCATAGATCAGTATCTTACACTTTTCAGAGCATTTTCTTTGGGTAGTACACTATCAAGGGAAAAGATTTACATCTCTTTTCCTCTTGATTATCAATTGTAAAAAAACTGCATGGGCCTGGCCCCGTGGTTTAAGTTCGCACACTCTGCTCCAGCGGCCCAGGGTTTCACTGGTTTGGATCCTGGGCATGGACATGGCGCCGTTCGTCAGGCCATGCTGTGGTGGTGTCCCACATGCCACAACCGGAAGGACCCACAACTAAAAATACACAACTACATACTGGGGGGCTTTGGGAGAAAAAGGAAAAAAAATAAAATCTTTAAAAAAAAACAAAACTGCAAAGTACTAAAAATTATAAAAAAATAACTTATCCATGTTCATCCATAGATATTTTGGCTCATTTCCTTCTGCTGCTTCTTTAAAGTTTTTGGTTGTGAACACATCACACTCTGTGACTTGTTTTTGCCTCTTATAACAAGCAATTGCCAAAACATTATTAAAAGCTCTTCATTGGGGCGTGAGGGATGGATGAAATGGGGGAAGGTGGTCAAAAGGTACAAACTTCCAGTTATAATATAAATAAATCCTGGGTACATAATGTACCCAGGTGACAGCATGGTGACTACAGTTAATAATACTGTATTGTATATTTGAAAGTTGCTGAGAGAGTAGATCTGAAAAGTTCTCATCACACACACAAAAAATTTCTAACTATGTGTGGTGATGGATGTTAACTAGACATATTGTGGTGATAATTTCCCAATATATACAAACAGCGATTTATTATAATGAACACCTGAAACTAATATTATATGTCAACTAATGATGTGTAACATTCCACTTAACGGATGTACTAAAATTTTATTTAACCACTTCCCCAGACTGTGAGTAATTTTGTCGTCTCTCACTTTTTGTTATTTTAGAATACCACAATAAACTTCAGTGCTTTTCTTGGCCTTTCAGATTAATTCCTTAGTGTACATTCCCACGAGTACAATTCACAGGTCAAAAAGAGATGAACGGTGTTTAGTCTCTTTTAACAGTAGGGCTTCAACTTTTGGGGGAGTTCCATGAGGGCAGGGACTTTGTTCATCCCTATTTCCCCAGCTGTGCCCAACATACAGTAAAGGTTCAATAAATATGCTGAATGAAAGGATTCACCTTTACAAAACTACTTTGCCCTTTCAGGTGTAGTTTTAACTGTTTATACAGTTAAATTTATCCTCCTTTTCCTTAATGATTTTTCCTACTGTTTTTAAGCTTAGGAAGAATTCCCTCATTCTAAAGATTTAAACACAATCTAAAAATCTCCTTCTAACACGGCTATTTATACAATGTATATTGACAAGTTATTTAATCAATATAATTTTGGCTGCATCGTTCACAAATAGGAGTATTTACCTTACATGGTTAAATGAGGTAATACATAGAAAGCAAATGGCCCCAGCTGGCACACACTGACTCAATAAACGCAAGCTTAAAACCAAAGATGGACTGTGTGAACATCAAAAAACAAAGTCTACAACTTCACAATTGACATACTTGGTGCTACTTCTGTTATTTTACATTTTACAAAATGATATTTTACATTTTCTACCTTTCTGCTTTTTTTTTTTTTTTAAAGATTTTATTTTTCCTTTTTCTCCCCAAAGCCCCCTGGTACATAGTTATGTATTTTTAGTTGTGGGTCCTTCTAGTTGTGGCATGTGGCATGTGGCATGTGGGATGCCGCCTCAGCATGGCTTGATGAGCAGTGCCATGTCCACCCCCAGGATTCGAACCAGCAAAACCCTAGGCCGCCAAAGTGGAGCGCGCGAACTTAACCACTTGGCCACGGGGCTGGCCCTTGCTTCTTTTATTTTTTTGCAGGATTTTGAATGTACATCCCTAATGGGATATATCCTAAGGATTAAAAGAATTGCAAAGAAAACTTACAGTGTATTCAGCCTTCTCATACTTAGCATTAAATCTATTACTGTTATTTGGTATATAATGTAGGATAAGGCAATTAAGTAATTATATCAATATCATTAGCACATACATAATAGAAAATCAAAGAAATTAAGTTCAAACTTATCTTAAATTTGCACTGGAAATATTTATATCTTATTATATGTATGTATATATTATTTTCCCTTGTTTTCTAAAAGCTACTTATTTCCTGATTCTGTCACTGAAAAGGCCTGGAAACAATGAAAACTAATAGCAATAAACACTATTAATGCCCAGTTTCTGATCTCTAAATCTACTCCCCAAAAAGAAAGTGGGGTTCTTTAGAGAAACAGCTGTTTACAAGCTGGGAGTGGGGTCAGGAAATGTATAGATGGGCTGGGATAACCTGCTGTGCCAGAAAGCTAGCAAAAGCTACCCGGGTGGCTTAAAAGACAGGGGAGTAACTTGAAGGGGCTCCTATTGACCAAAATTGGGACAATGTATATGTTAAAAAGAATACAGACTGTGACTGATTGAAACACAAATATATTCAAAAATGATAAGTTTATAATGATACTAACAATTCTTTGGTCGCCTTTTGGGGTTGCCAGGGGTATTTTTATAAAAGTTGATCAATAAAGAGAAATAATCAAACACTTTCTGCCTTCACTACACACATTGTATTTCAGGGTAACCAAATAGCAGATTTGAGAAAGTTCTTTACAGAAGAATTTCAGCTGACAAATGCTGAAAATGATAGAACATTTGTGCAAAGGGTGATGCGGAAGTTTATAATGAATGAATTTGGCTGAGGACACTTGAACCCAGTAATGAATCTTGATATCACCTAAAAATTATGACAACCACTATGTGCTTCCTAAAGCAATGGTTCTCAAAATGTGATCCCTGGACCACTGGCATTACCTGGGAACTTGTCAGAAGAATGTAAATCTGGTATTTGCTTTAATATACAAAAAAAGGGGAGAGTGATGAAACAAAATGTTTATAACTGTTGAAGCTGGGTGGTGGTCACATGGGGGTTCGTTATATTATTCCATCTAATTTTGTTTTGTTTGAAATGTCTATAATTAAAAGTGAAAAAACCCAAACCAAAAAAACAAAAACTCTATTAGTGATTTTCTTAATTAAAGATCTTTATCCTTATTTGTAAAGTAGTCATTTATAAATCACACAAGGTGAAATGATACTCATTGCTTGTGGATCTCACCTCCACTCTCCATTTTTATACTATCATTAACAGATGCCTTATTATACCTCTGGGATTAATACTACATGCTGCAAGGAAACTTAACTGAAGGCAAAGTCATAAAGTTAGGTGTTCAAATTGTGCACCAAGTAAGCATCTGGTGGCCATCTAATAGTTTTAAATAGCTAAGGACCTGAGGCAAAACAGATACACTTCTTAAAAACCATATGCAGCCATTTTATTATGACAGGGCTACCATTCCCAATTCTTTTTTTTTTTTTTTTACACATAGAGAAAAAGGAAAAAAATAATATAGCTGTGTTCCTTCCAGAGAGCAAGGTAAGCATCATCACCTGGCCTGGTGTGTGCTGAAGAACAGACATGAATTATGGTCAGTATTAGTTCAGCACAAGTTAGACACTGTGTATAAATGTGTGTATAGAGCCCAAGAGAAAGAACCACCAGACACCCCTCTAGGTTTCTAAGGCATTATACGGAAGCTCAACAAGAACTCCAACCAAACCCAGTGTAAGAAGGATCTGATTCACGAGCCCAAAGTCCTGGATTGGTTAGTGGCCCCAGACCTATACAAGCCACACTGCTTCTCCCCAAACACTAACTAGTATCTCTGTGGCACTGCAAAGCTACGATAACAGCATTCTATTCCAGTTACAGCCTTTGCTGTTCCAAACTATGACAGTGGCAAAACCACCCAACATCTCAGAGGGAAGATTTACCTATCTGCCACCATCCACCTCATAGGAATTGTAGGAGGAGTCTGTTTTTGCTCAAAATAAGAAACACATGTTTTGTTATCAGAGGAAAAAATCTAAAAGAAAATCCTTTTCTTTCTGCTCGAATCTGCTGTACTAGATATAAATATAAAACAACAGAGCTCTGGCTCACATTGTAAAGATCTCATGGCACATTCCCACAAGCCCTTCAGCTTACCCCTTTGCTGATATAGCCCGCCAGCAGGAGTGAGCCTATGATAATAAGAAAGGCGCCAAACAAAAACAGCACTGTAGCAAGCGCAATGGCCTTATATGGGATCTTAGGAGGGCTTTTCTTAAACTGGAAGAGAAAAAAACAAAAAAAGACAAGGAGGAGCATTATGAAAATACCAGGGCTCAGACGCTTTAAGGCAGAGAGGATAATAAGAACCAACATAAATGCTTTGTCTGTCTTGAAGTAAGTCCTACTGCCCAGTGCAGCTTTGGGAAAGGAAAGGGACAGGCAGAGACGAAGTGCAAATTACTGCTCAAAGGAGTCCCAGCAGAATGTTATTCTTGCTAGTTCTAGTCTCAATCCACAGACTATTCACTGTACCATAAAAAACTATTTTCTTATAAAAACAAAAAACACTTTATGGTCATTCATCGATTAGACTTGTTTATTAAACGCCTGGCACATGGAAGGCTATACTAATCTACAGAGATTCAAGAGCGAACATTATGCTCTGGAGATGTAAAGAAAATAACTGATTACTGGCATTCAAAGTCAAGTCAGCATATAGTCACAGGTTTTAGAAACGGCTTTTTCTGAAGCATTAGTTGTCTGTCCCACGGAGCAGATAACTTGTCTTATTAACAAGTTCAATTCAAGATTAAGATTCAGACAAACTTTCTAAGGTTTGGCTCATGGTTGTATCTGAGCTAACCGGCTGGAAACTTCCCAGATGTACTTTTTAAAAAATCTCTCTCCTCCAAGTGTGGGTCCAAAGGCTATAAAGAATAATTGATTTGTTTATTTTTAAAAGGATGGGTTCCTGCTACTTCCTCCTTGGCTTTGGTTCCACCCAAAATATTCTGTTCTAAGGGTAAGTGGGCAAAAGGAGATCCTACACCATTAAATATTTTATAATCAATGATCAGAGTAGGATACAAGGTAAATATTCTCTGTTTTACTTACTGTTTGCCACAAAAAATACCTTTAATAAATTGGATCTCATGACATCAGGAAAGAAGGAAGATTCCCACAATCTGCTGGCTTTAGCAGTTAGTTTCTCCCTTAAAAGATGAACTGGCTTTGACTAAAGCGTAAACAAACTGATGACACAGTCCTAAAAAAAATTCTACTTAATAAAACACAATCTGATTATTTTCCAGATAAACTAAAGAAAATTGGCAACTACTGGCCTCCGGTGTTAGAACTAAAAATTCTTAGAAATGGACAATAATTATATTGGTTTGAAAATCCTCTGCCAAGGCCCCTCCTGCAGGCTATGGCTGAAAGGGTCTCAGAGGCGAGTTTCCTTCTTGCTGCTCACTCTAATCCCCAGGGACAGTTAGCAAAATTTTGACCTGAAATTTCTTCCTCCTAACTCAGCAGAAGCAGCACCAGCCACTCTCATCAGCACCCTTCTGCATTTACCTGAAGGTCAATGTAGCCATCGTCTGTGGAGAGCCTTGAGTATTTCACTTTACTACTGGGGATTCCAGTAGCCAGGTTGGTACGAGACGGCATCATAACACGCTGACACAGCTACTGTCTGAAAACAAAAAAAACCTGTTATTGTCTGCAAGTGACAATGGTATGTTACACATTGGAGTTCTGAGCTGTGATGTCATACCAGCAACTTATAATTTAGGCTCTGCTGTTCTTAGAATCTTATCTTCCTTTGACAAGATGAAAGCATTCTCACTATGTATCTACTCTAATTTGTCCTGGTAGAATAAGAGTCAAGACATGTGCCAAGAACCAGACCTCACGTTTAATCTTGCCACCAACATCCCCCTGCCTCCTAATTTTTCCAAAGTCACACAGAGAGTAGGTAGGAAGAGTGGTGACTTAAACCCAAGTCCATATGACACCAAAGTCCATATTTTCAACCATTCTGCTATAGTACTGCCTGTCCCTACTTCAGGAAAAAGTAAGAGCAGGATATACTCAAATGATTCTCTCATTTGCCAGGGAGGAAGGAGAGAGGGTGGGGAATGGAATACACTCACATCAGCATTTTGCCTATTTCCCCCTAATGGATGTCATCCTTTTAATGCAGAGGATCTGTAAAGCTTCCCCATGTAAATTTGGATAAGCTACTGGCCATCAGCACTGTATCAGTGCCTTCTGATTTGCCTCTCTCTGCCCCACTCCAAGCACTGAAAGTAGTGATTTCATTTTCCAGATTACTTCTATAGCTGCATTAAAAAAAAAACAACCAAAAACGCTGAATAAATATATGATTTTTGTTCAAAATAGTCAAAGACGACTTCACTAATGAAATTACGGTTATTTTGTCACAAGTTTAAGAGCCAGTAGGTAAGATTAAAAAACAAGGACATTTATGGGGCTGGCCACATGGCCGAGTGGTTAAGTCCGCGCGCTCCGCTGCAGGCAGCCCAGTGTTTTGTTGGTTCAAATCCTGGGCACGGACATGGCACTGCTCATCAAACCACGCTGAGGCAGCGTCCCACATGCTACAACTAGAAGGACCCACAACAAAGAATATACAACTATGTACTGGGGCGTCTTTGGGGAGAAAAAGGAAAAAATAAAATTTAAAAAAAAAAAACCAAAAAAAAAACGACATTTAAATTGAAAAATACTTGTAATTTGTGCACTTTTCCTTCATAAAATCACAGTTTTATGAGTAAAACAAGTAAATCTGTTTTAATCGTGAAGCTATTTGATTTTTAAAAATGAAAACATATCTTTAAAAAGAGAAGATTACGTATTTCAATAAAGGAGATATTAAAAAAACAAATTATAAAGACTCGCCTGCCTCTAGTATGACACTTTCCAAATAACCATCATTATAATAATGGCTGTTAGTAATTATCTAGTGTTGGTTAGCTGCCAGGTACTGTTCCAAGCGCTTTATATATATTCAATTCTGAATATTAATGAGCTGTTTTAAGTGGCTTTGAGTCAATCTAAAATAACTAGCATTATGAAGGAAGTGGTGCTAATGCTCATGTTCCTTTTTTGCAATTACATACTATTGGTCCAGAAACCAAGTATTGAAAAAATAAGAGTATGCTAACACACGCTTTTTTAAAAGAGATCAAACCGCGTCAAACACTAGGTTGTTGTTTCGCGATCCCACTTATATGATAATCTAAATTTAATTCTATAAAACTTAAAAGTCCAAACTACCAATACGTGGGGGTTTTGACGGCATTTAATCACCACTAACTTGTATTAGTCTTTTCTTTTTATGTTTACGTACTCTGCCTTTAACTATTCATACACCTGCATCAAACAGAAAAAAGCGCAGGGCGGAAGGGAGAAGAGAATACTTATTGGTGGCAAAAAGTAAGAATTCTAAAAGAGGGGAAAGGAGAAACGTAAGAGCCGATGTTTTCAAAGTACCAGTCCAACTTCCCAAAAGGCCTTTTCACAGCTCCACCGCAACCCCCAAGTTCCCTCAGCACCTGAAGGTTGCAAGAAGCTTAAAAGCACCAGCAAAGCACTGAGCACAGCGCCTGGCACCACGCGCCCGCACACACACTACTCTCTCCAGGCCTCGCTCGGAAGAGATACAAGAACCGACGCGAATTTAGAAGGAAAACAAACAAAACCGGTTTCTGGAAAGAGGCCACCGTGCCCAGGCGGGCGGACGCTCCACATCAAGGAGTCGGGGCTTGCTTTCGGCGGGCAGCGCAGCCTCGGCCACGCCGGAGCCTGAGGGGTGCGCCTCTGCCGCCGCCACGCCGCACGCACGCCTTACCGGAGCGCCGCGCCGGGCAGCCCGCGCGCCAACAACCAGCTAACGGTTGGCAGCTGCGGCGCCCGACGCCTCGCGGCACGCCTCACCTGGCAGCCGCTTCGCCCCGCCCGGCGTCGGAAATGGCGCAGTGGAAGGCGGCGCGCCGGAAGTGGCGTCACTGGGAGCGACGCCTTCTCCTCCCGCTATCGGAGATCTCCCCGTTTCAACCCTACGCTGCTGCGGGCCGCCTGCGAGAGGCGTCGGAGTGCTGCTTCGTGTGGTTTCGGGAGGTGCCGCGGCCTGGGCTTGCTGCCGGCCATCTCCGCAGAGGCAGGGGGTGGGGGGCCGTCCCTTGGGTGCCTGCCCGCCCGGGCCAGTGAGGCCCAGGACAAGCCAGCTTTTCTTTCCCTGACCCCTCGGGGAGTGTAGGAAGCTCAGTGGCGTCCCCTGGAGGCGGAAGCTCAGCCCCTTGGAGCCCCCGAGTCTCAGACCCACTGCAGGACAGTCAGCCTTCCACGGGGGCGCGCCACAGTCTCTACCAGTCAATAACCCCCCATACTCTTTAGCAGCCCCACGTTCTCATGCTTCAGTTTCCCGCTCCTTGTCATCAGGCCTTGCCCAGGTAAGAGGCTCGTCCACAAGGGATATTTTGCCGCACATGAAGCTTTTTAAAATGTCAAATTTATTAAGGCATAATTTACATATAATAAAGTACAATTGGATGTTTTGACAAATGCATAGTCTTGGAACCACCCCCAAAAAGTGCCATCAAGCCCCTTTGCAGCCAGTCTCCTTCCCTGCCCAGGCACACACAAGGTAATGAATAGTTACCTACTGGATGCAGTGAGTTCTGAAGTCCAGTAAGTAGAACTCCTCAGTCCAGGTACAACAAAATCATTTAATCTACCCAACACAAAATACACTGGGAAAAAGGACTCATAATTCTCAGTATGTAGCATGCCAGTTTATGATCTTGTTTTAAACAGTCTTTGTTTCACAAGTGCTGGGCCTTTTCACTTTCTTGGTTGAATCCAACATCCATGGAAATTAAGCTGCTTCATCCTTTAAGGGAGTAAGTCCCAAACAAGGCTACATATACTGGAGAAATTATTTTTGCACACATACTCCTTGAATCCTATACAGATCTATTAAAACTTCCAAGTTTCTTATAAAATGTTCCCCCGGCTAAAGAAACACCACCCTATAACTAATGCTAGTCTTATAAAAACCCACAGCTTTTGAGTACATTAAGCTTCTGAACAAAGTGTTAGTTTTTGCTAACGAACATGACAAAATAATGAAATATATAGGATTTGTCCTACTCTCCCCTGTTCATTTCTTGAGCTCAAGTTAGAATACCAAAACAAGTTTGGCAAATGAATCCCCAAAGATATGTTGTCACATACTGTACTTGGAATACTTTTTATTGCTATATCTAGATGTATTTATATCAGGCTGCTCTACACTGAAAAAATAAACACATTACATGATAGGGTAGCTTCAGCTGTGAATTCCCTAGGATCCTTGTAACAGTCGTAGTCTAAATGAAGGCACTGTCCTGTTATGTTTAAAATTCAAATAATTTTTATTTAAATTGAAAACAATTCTTAAAAATGCATTTAGAGTCATAACCCTTTTGTTATAAAAAAAAATCATAAGGAGTATTTCTTGGTAAGTTAGAAGTATTTCTAGGTTAACAAGACCAGATTTGACTTTGGACTTTATTCTTTAAACAGATTGTAGAGAATGAAGAAAAAATAGGTTATTTACAGAAAACATTATCTACATATGTACTCAGAGATACAAATTTGGTGACAGAAGATAGTTAAGTACATGGTGGCATTTCAGAAGCAGTTCTCAAAGAGCTTGGTTTTGTTTTCTTGGATTTTAAGAATGCCTAGGATGCGTCCTCATCCTCGATCTTGGGAGCCAAATAGTACTTTAAATGTCCCATATCAGCAATTTTATACTCTACAACTGAAAGAAGACAAGAAGATAGTTAATTACTGAGAAGTACCACATACACTACCTACAAAACACGATTCAACAATTTATCTTACCAAGGGGTACATCTGCAGACATACTGAGTGTTACTGTAGGAGACAGTGGAGTGGCTTTTGTAAAGAAGTTCAGGTACCTCAGTGCAAAAGTTAGCTGAACTGGCTCATTCATCTCTATGGTAACCTAAGGGAGAAAACAAGACTCATCATATTGAAAAATGTCAAGCAAGTTGCAACCCATTAGTTTACAATATATATATATTTAAAGACAAAAACAAAAAAAACCCTTTACTGGTTACTTTAGAAGATGCTATGAAACTAATTTCCTGTGTGTGTGTGTGTGAGGAAGATTGGCCCTGAGCTAACATCTGTGCCAATCTTCCTCCATTTTTGGTATATGGGACACCACCACAGCATAGCTTGATGAGTGTTGCGCATGTCTGCGTCCAGGATCCAAACCCGCAAAAGCCAGGCTGCTGAAGCGGAACATGCAAACGTAACCACTGGGCCGGTCCTGAAATATTTTCTAATAAATAAACCAACTAATAAATGAAGAAGGAATTAAATATATTACAACTCTGCAAACTCTAATGACTTAATGAATCTAGACAATGATTATTAACGGCTGCTAAAATCACAAAAAGATATCCAAACACCTCATGCCTTCTACTGGAGGTACACACTACTACCTAGAAGTATTCTTGCTCACCCACTCCCAAAGAAAGCACCCTGAATATCAGATCATCAGGCCTCTAAGTTGTAGCTACCAGTTTATAGGAAATAAATGTAGAGGAACATAAGAATTGACATAAGGGTGCAATAGGCAAAATCCAGACTCTGAAACAAACTTCTGAAATAACCAAGGAAATAGGAATACTGAAAAATTCCTTAATATTGAATAATTTTCTTAGATATGGTAAAGTTTAATGTTTATACATCAGATAATATTAAAATATTTATGGAAGAACTAATATTTGAGATTTTAAAAACATCGAAGAGGGGCCAGCCTGGTAGCTCAGCGGTTAAGTGTGCAACGTTCTGCTTTGGGGGCCCAGGGTTTGCCGGTTCGGATCCCGGGTGCAGACATGGCACCGCTTGGCAAGCCATGCTGTGGTAGGCATCCCACATAGAAAGTAGAGGAAGATGGGCACGGATCTCAAGGCCAAGGCCAGTTAGCTCAAGGCCAGTCTTCCTCAGCAAAAAGAAGAGGATTGGCAGCAGCTAGCTCAGGGCTAATCTTCCTCAAAAGAAAAAAAAAAAATGAAGATAGCAGGAGAGTGGAATGTAACTTAGGAGACAAAAGTCAGAATTAGCCTCTAGGCTTTTGTTATTAATATATATATTTTTAAAGTTTATATTTAAATGGAATTTTACCTTCATTTAAACTGAGGGTTGACTATTCATGCAAGGAACAAGAAAATAATATCTAATATTTACTATGAATTTACAATATGACAGACACTGTGTTAAGCACTTTGGATGTTACCATATTTAATCCTAATAATCCTGTGAGGATAGGACCTTTAATTGTCCTTGATTTAGAGTTAACTGACGCTCACAGGCTAGCAAGTATAAGTTTTATTTTAGTACAATTACCAAATATTAGTTTATAAATACTCCACGGATCTAAAAAAAGACCTGATTACAGGAAAACCTTAATTTAAGGATATTTAGGAATTAGCATGTTCTTTATTTTTCGGTTAAATGAGGGTTGTCTAGGCCCCCTTTTGGGCTTACCACAAAGAAAATTAGTATGAGGATTACATACCTCATAACAGCTAGATTTTACCCCTAACTAGATCCCTCTGGTGAGTTGCCATCCTATGCTCAATTATTTGGTAAAAGCAGACTAAGTACCTCTAGAAAGCTAAAGGTTAGACACCTAGCTTCGCAGTCCTGTCCTTGAGTATGTGCAGGTTTCATACAGACCCATTATTCTGTGATTTATTAAAAAAGCACTGGGGGTCCGCCCCCGTGGCCAAGTGGTTAAGTTGACATGCTTTGCTTTGGCGGCCCAGGGTTTCACTGGTTCAGATCCTGGGCACGCGACATGGCACTGCTCATCAAGCCATGCTGAGGTGGCATCCCACATGCCACAACTAGAAGGACCCACAACTAAAAATACAGAACTATGTGCTGGGGGCTTTGGGGAGAAAAAGGAAAAATAAAATCTTTAAAAAACAAAAAACAAAACACCCGCAGATTTCAATAATGTCTTTCAGTTCTCACAAATTACTAAGAAATGCAGTTGTCTATTTTTCTTTAGTGTTCTTTAATTTTAGCAATTACACCTTGTCTAGACTGAATGTTTGTGTTGTGCCCCCCACGTTAAAACTGAATCCCCAATGTGATGGTATTTGGAGGTGGGACCTTTGGGAGGTGCTTAGGGTCATGAGGGTGGAGCCCTCAGGAATGGGATTAGTGCCCTTATAAAGGAGACCCTAGAGAGTTCCCTCGCCCCTTCCACCAGGTGAGAAGGCTGCTGTCTATGGACCAAGAAGCAGGTCCTCATCAGACACGGAATCTGCCAGCTTCCAAGCCTCCAGGCCTGTGAGAAAATGTACGTTGTTTATAAGTCACCATGGTGTTTTGTTATAGCAGCCCAAGCAGACTAAGACATAACCTAATGCTAAGCAGTGTTACAATTCTCTTCAAAGTATTTGTTTACTTAAAAACTACTTACAGCTTCCTCCTCTTTATCAACATTACTTGTTTGTGACAACTTAATATTTCCATTTCCAAGTTCTCCACTTGCAGAAAATTTCACTCCGTCTTTTGCACAGGAAATTACAACAGCATCTCCAATATGACTGAGATCTCGGCATATACGTGCAAATTCGCCAGAAGGCATCTTTACTACACAGCTATACTCTTGTTCCTATAAAACAAAATTTTGAAGTCAGTTGCTGGAAATTAAAGATCTGGCACCCTCATTTTCTGAAGAATCAGCATCTAAACAAGAATTCAGAATTTAAGATTTTCTGATTATTTTGAAATATCACTCGTATAATTTCTTAACACACTCTAACCACTCAAAAAATAAATGCAGGGGCCGGCCCTGTGGCGCAGCAGTTAAGTGCGCACGTTCCGCTTGGGCAGCCCAGGGTTTGTCAGTTCGGATCCCAGGTGCAGACATGGCACCACTTGGCAAGCCATGCTGTGGTAGGCGTCCCACATATAAAATAGAGGAAGATGGGCATGTATGTTAGCTCAGGGCCAGTCTTCCTCAGCGAAAAGAGGAGGATTGGCAGCAGATGTTAGCTCAGGGCTAATCTTCCTTAAAAATAAATAAATAAATAAACACAGATATAAAACAAGTATGTTATAGAAAAACAAATTAGAAGTTAAACCTTTAACAGTAAATGCACTATCCAGGGAAGTAGAGCCTCCCTGTAATCACCCTCCAGGGTTAAATCAAGAGGACATTAGGGGCCGGCCCAGTGGCGCAGCAGGTAAGTGTGCACGTTCCACTTTGGCGGGTCGGGGTTTGCTTGTGCGGATCCCGGGTGTGGACATGGTACCACTATGCTGTGGTAGGCATCCCACATATAAAGTAGAGGAAGATGGGCATGAATGTTAGCTTAGGGCCAGTCTACCTCAGTGAAAAGAGGAGGATTGGCAGCAGTTAGCTCAGGGCTAATCTTCCTCAAAAAAAAAAAAAAAAAAAGGAAAAAAAAGAGGACATTAGAAAGGGCCAGCCCGGTAGCTGAGTGGTTAAGTTCACAGGCTCCCCTTCAGAGGCCCAGGGTTTCACCGGTTTGGATCCTAGGCGTGGACATGGCACCCCATGCTGAAGGCCATGCTGAAGCAGCATCCCACATAGCACAACCAGAAGGACCTACAGCTAGAATGTAGAACTATGTGCTGGGGGGCTTTGGGGAGAATAAGGAGGGAAAAAAAAAAAGAAAATTGGCAACAGTGGTTAGTTCAGGTGCCAATCTTAAAAAAAAAAAAAAAATTAGAGAATGGCATACAAACTACCAACAACGATGGTGCAAGCAGGCCTACCTGCTTCCCAAAACAAAACAAGAGAATATGATATTAGGTATTTTAAACACTCCAACACCTCTTCTCTCCTTTGATGTTGATAAACCTACTCTTAATAAAAACCAAGCATTCTAAGGAAAAGAAAACAGCATGGAGGTTAATGCAAACATGCATACTTGGCAGCAATGAATTCAACCAATGATCCACCTTAGAGTACTGTAGTTTAATAAAATGACAAGTGTGTCAGTCTAAATACTAAAACCCCACTTTGGATCATGCATCAGCAGATACATAGAAGAAGTTCTATTAGGAAGTAGGCTTTAAATTATACTAACGTGTTAACATATCAACATATCGTATGTAACTATCATGGCTGTGTACAGTACACTCAGAAATTTTGATACTCACTGGAATTCCAAGTTGTTCAACATCTAAATCCATCAACTTCATTTCATAGTCTGAAACCTTTTCTTGATCTACCAAAAGAAAACAAATGTTGAAGAACAGTGGAAGTTTACAACTGATGTAAATTTTACAAGCATCACAAACATTATCTTAAATTGCTCACAGCTTTGAGAAATACTGATACCACATTTTAATCTTTTTTAGCATAACTCAGTAGAAGAGTATGACTTACTTGGAGCTTCAAATACTAGTGCCAAGGTGTCCGCGTTATCTTCAGCCCTTAGGGTAATGATGTCTTCATTGCCAGCACATTTTAGTATTTTGGACATACTAAAACACAGAAGACAGAGTTTAAAATCGACACCATCTTCTCAAGATTGTTAGATTTCGAAGCAATTAAAACAAGCAGTTACCATTTTTACCCATTAGGCGGTCTGATGAATTGGAGAGTTAGGTAAACGTGCTGCAGGAGGATGTGGAAACCGGTCCAGCCATTTTGGAGTGCAATCTGGCAGTATTTATGTTTAAACTAAAAAGCCCACACCCTACCACCAGCAGTTTCATTTCTGAATATAAATAAAAGAGCAGCATTTCCTGAATTGCAAACTCCTTTTAGCGGACGAAGTAATTACTGGCCCGCGAGGACCATTAAAAACGATGTAATACAGCTATTAAAGTACATCGCATGTAGCATGGGTAAATATTCCTCATAAGCTTTTAAAAATTGAAACATGTATACGTGCTAGATAGTGACCAAAAGTTGAAAGCTACTGCCCTGGAGAAACCTTCCTCGAATCCAAGATCTCAGGTGCCAAGTGCAACTTTGCAATGATAAGAGACCAGAAACAACCTATTGTCCCTAAGTAAGGAGACAGGCCTAGAGAATGTTATAAAGCGGTTAAAGTCAACCGAGACCAAGATTTCTCATCCAAGGCAGCCGGCACCCAATGTCCAAAGAGCTCTGGAACAGTCTTTTCCCGGCACCGCAGAGAAGCCCATCATTTTCCCGCCACCACCAGCTTTGTGACTTTGGCGCGGAAAGTGCCGGTTCGCGCGGCCGCCAGCGCGGGCTTTCGGAACCGCGCGCTCCGCTGGATCCCGCCCCCCGGCATGGGAGCCCAATGAGAAGGCGTAGACACCCCACGCCAGCCAATGAGAGCACGGCTCGGAGGCGCTCCCGCCAAGAGCTGGGGGGGGCGGGGGACTCGGGGACCAGGGCCGGCTCCCCGCCGCCCCGCGGCTCACCTGGTGAGGTTCACGCCCATGGCCAGGTTGCGGTCGCAGCGGTACGTGTCGAAGCCCTCCGAGCGCAGGGTGAGCTGCACCAAGGAGACGTGGGACGAGTCCATGCTCTGCAGGTTCACGCCGCTCGAGCTGATGTCCCAGCAGGCCTCGTTGATGAGGTCCTTAAGGGCCTCCAGCACCTTCTTCAGGATGGAGCCCTGAACCAGGCGCGCCTCGAACATGGTGGTGGAGTCGCAACGACACGGCTACAGGAGAAGAAGAGGAGGAAGGTGTAGCCGGCTTAGGCTTCACAGAACAGGAGAGAACCGCCGAAAGCCTGAGCGCGAGGAAGATCCAAGCTTGCCGCGCCTGCAGCCGTTTAATACGGCCGCGTCTGCGAACGCGCGCTCTCTGCCCCCGCGCCCCGTGTCGAGGCGTCACCACGCTGCCCCGCCCACTGCCTGGCGGAGAGACGCCAGAGCCAATCGCCTGCCTTCTCCGCGCAAAGCCCGCCCCCCAGGAACACCCATTGGAGGATGCGGGGGCGGAGGCGGGGCAGGAACTCAGCACCTCCCCGGGCCGAGGGGGCGGTGTCCGGCAGGACTCCCCGCCTTTTTGTTATGTTCCGGCGTCTGGGCGCTGGACAAGTCCGGGCCAGGCCCAGGCCAGGGTTGTCGAGCGGTGGCTGTGTGATGCCTCAACCTCCCGCATTGGGGATAAAGAGTTTCCAATCACGAAAGTGAAAGTGAAACACAAATCCAGCCTACCTGGAGGAAAAGCCGCCGTGTAGCCTCAAGAGAACAGCTTCTTTAAAGGTGCACTTTATTCTTGCTGTTAAAGAAGTGACGCGCTCCTAGAAGTCAAACGATAAAGAGGTGTACAGTTATGATAAAAAAATTATGTCAGCTCCCCACCCGCCCCGAGCTCAAACCACTCAATCACTTCCTGTATACAGCTTTCTAACCTTGCTTTTTCTGTACAAATATACATTTTTAAAAAACAAAAATGGGTTCATACCGTTAACACTTCTGTAATGTACTTAATAAAGTATATTTTATGTCACGTACATCTTTTTTATATCGGTACCTTTCAAAAAGATGGCGTCATATCCTATGTAACCTTTTTTTTTTTTTTTTTTTACCAATTTCTTGTGATTACAAACACCTTTGGGAACTTAAGTGATTTTTCTGAGATAAACTTGAAGTAGTTTTGCTGGGTCCAAGATCATACACATTAAATTTTTAGTAAATGTTACTAAACTGACGTCTAAAATATTGGAATTTACATTCCAGCCAAGAATATGAGCATGTTCATTTCCCCTTATTTTCCTAACTATAGATATTAGCAGTCTCATTTTTAAATCTGTGCTCATTTGTGTGAGGTTGGACCTCTTTCATATATGTCTTGACTATTCCATGTTTATATTTTTTCTATTAAACTTTTTCCTATATATTAAAAGGAGCACTTCATTTCCCTATTTTATGTATCCCCCCATCATTTCTCTTTTGCTTTAATTACAGCATTTCCTTTTAGTTGCAACTTGGTCTGTAGATTCTTTAGTTTTTCTACCATGTATCTAAGATTTGGTTTTATTTATCCTGTTCAGGGAATTTTGTGTTCCCGAATCAGAAGATTCCTGTATTTCATTGTCTAGAATATTCTCAGACCATTATGGCTTCAAATAATTGCCTTTCCCCACTCTTTCTCTCCCTCTGGCATTGCTGTTAGATGTATCTATTTCATTGAGTTTAAGACACCTTCAATTGTTGTTGTTTGTTTTCTTGCTATTGAGTTGTATGAGGTTTTTTTTTTTTTCGAGGAAGATTAGCCCTGAGCTAACATCTGCTGCCAATCCTACTCTTTTTGCTGAGGAAGACTGGCCCTGAGCTAACATCTGTGCCCATCTCCCTCTACTTTATATGTGGGATGCCTACCACAGCATGGCTTGCCAAGCGGTGCCATGTCCACACCTGGGATCCGAACCGGGGAACCCCGGGCTGCCGAAGCGGAAAGTGCAACCTTAACCGTTGCACCACCGGGCCAACCCAGTATGAGTTCTTTGTATGTTTTGGATAGTAGCCCCTTATCAGATATATAACTTGCAATTATTTCCTCCCATTCAGTAGGTTGCTTTTTCATTTTGTTGATAGTTTCCCACTTGTAAATTTTGATACTGGCACTTTCTTGTGTGATCAATTTATGTGTGATCAATTATCCTTTCACATACCTCAATATGTCAAAATATATCAGCTTTATCATTTTGTGTTCTCCTTTCTTAGGTCTTTTAGAGTCTCTGTTCTTTTGCAAAACATGGAATGTGTTCATTTCTCCAGTGAGGCACATTTGTTTCACTAATAACAAATGTATACTCTGCTACTCTGTTTCTGAGCTTTTTGCTGACATAATAAAATTCTGGTTTAATGCTAAGTCAAAGTGTAATCAATTTGAAGACATTTTAAATGGCAATTAAAGTCCACCCATGTGGTACCCACAGTGCACATGATCAGTTGAAATAAACACATATGAATGGCTATCACCTGTAGTTAGAAAAGGCCTCTCCAAGGAGGTAGCATTTTACCAGAGAAGCTAGCTATTTGGAGAGTGGAAGAAAGAGTATTCTAGGCTGAAAGAATACTCTGTTTTAAAAGGAGAGCATGGAGGCCAGCCCTGTAGCATAGTGGTTAAGATTGGCAGGCTCCACTTCTGTGGCCTGGATTCATGGGTTCAGATCCTGGGCACAGACCTACACCACTTGTCAGCCATGCTGTGCCAATGACCCACACATAAAGTGGAGGAAGATTGGCACAGATATTAGCTCAGGGGCAATCTTCCTCAAGCAAAAAAAAAAAAAAAGGGGGAAAAAAAGGACAGGATACTTAGATGGTGTTCAGATAGTAGTTTTAGAATTCAAAGATTGGGGTGGGATCTTTTTCCCCCAGTTTTTTAATTGAGATATAATTGGCATATAATAGAACTCAAAGACTGATGTGTTTGGAACGCATTGAATGGGAAGAGTGGTGCAAGGTGAGGTTGCAAAGAGAGGCAGGGTCGAAGTCTCACAGGACTTTGCGAGCCCTCTGTAAATGCAAGGGAAAGTTATCCAAAGGTCTTTGATACGATCTAATTTGTGTTTTAGGCAGATCACTTGAACATCTGGTAAAGGTGCTATTCCAATCAGTGAGAGAAAGAATGAATTAAGTAAATTATGATCAAACAATTGGTAAAATTTCTAGGAAAGAATAAAGTTGTAGATTCTTCCTAATAACCGTTCACTGAAACAAATTCCAGATAGATTAAACAATTAAGATTCAAATAAATGTAAACCCAGCAAGAAATAGAAAAGTATTTTGGAAAATATTTATGACATCTTGGAGCCAACCCCATGGCTGAGTGGTTAGGTTCCCATGTTCCACTTCTGCGGCCAGGGGTTCGTGCTTTGGATCCTGGGTGCGGACATGGCACAGCCCATCAGGCCATGCTGAGGTGCACGTCCCACATAGTACAACCAGAAGGACCTACAGCTAGAATATACAAGTATGTACTGGGGGGCTTTGGGGAGAAGAAGAAGAAGAAAAAATATTGGCAACAGGTGTTAGCTTAGGTGCCAATCTTTAAAAAAAATATGTGACATCTTTCTGTGGACATCTAAACATAAAAGGAAAAACCCCATAAAACGTAAGGAATGACGTACATAAGTTTTAAAACTTCAGTATGCCTAAACGCACTGTGTTGGTCAGTACACTTCAAATTTTCACAACAGAGAACCAAATTCAAACTGATTAAGAGAAAAGGGGAATTTATACATCTAAACAAAAGCCAGAGGCATCTGGCTTCCAGTGTCCAAGGCCTAGTCTTAGTAAATGTATGAAATAATGGTTGGTCATAATAATAAGCAAAGAAATATATATTTAAGGGAGATAGAATTTTAATATACTGTGTAATAAAAATTGTGTTAACACTCATTTATTAGGAAGTATTCAAAGAAGTAGGCACTGTCCTGCATTGAAGATGGGAGTATAAATTCATATAACTTTTCTGGTGGTAATTTGGAAACATGTATGGAAAGCCTTAGAATTTTGTTTATTCTTTGACACAGAAGTTCAATCTCTAGGACTTTTTTCTAAAGAAGTAATCAGAGGTACTTACTAAGATGAAGCATGTTTGTTTCTTATAGAATTCTTTTTTTTTAATATTTTTTTTTAGATTTTATTTTTTTCCTTTTTCTCCCCAAAGCCCCCTGGTACATAGCTGTATATACTTTGTTGTGGGTCCTTCTAGTTGTGGCATGTGGGACGCCGCCTCAGCGTGGTTTAATGAGCAGTGCCATGTCCGTGCCCAGGATTCGAACCAATGAAACACTGGGCCGCCTGCACGGGAGCGTGCAAACAACCACTCAGCCACGGCCACGGGGCCAGCCCCTCTTAAAGAATTCTTAACAATTCCCCTGAAACTGGAAATAACCTTGAGGTCTAACTATGGTATTTGTAAGGCAAATTATGGTAAATACGTAAGATGGAATACTATGCAGCCTTTCACATACTATTCTCAAAGGGCACTTGATAAAGAGAAGAGTCAGCTTATGAAACAGTTTAAACAACAGTATTCCAGTTTTCTAAAATTGTTATATCTGAGTGTAAGTACACAGAGAATAGAAAGAAAAGATGAGAATATTAACAGTAACTATCCATGGCTGATGATACCACAAATAATTTTAATATTTTTCATTATACTTTTCTGTATTTTCCACACTTTCTTCATCAAACATGTATTGTTGATGGAAAAATGTTAATGAAGGTTGGGAGAGAAAAATACTGTAAACTATTTTATATAATTTCTGGCAAACTTCTTTACAAGGTGATAACATGTATTAGAGTGATTCTCAATCCTGGTTGCACATCAGACTCACCTGGGGAGCTTAACAACAACAAAAAAGCCCATTTCCTCTAGGTTCTATCTCCAGAGATTCTTATTTAGTTGGTCTAGGGTGGGCCCTCCATTGGTATATTTTGGAAGCTCCCTAGGTAATTCAAATGAATAATCAGGGCTGAGTAGTACTATTTCAGCATGTGTGATCAATAGATTAATATTTGTGCTTAAAGCCACCTGCATCCCCATGTAGACGATTGGTTTGAAAAAGTAAGACCTACGGTTTGTCAGAGAGGAGACTGACATTATAGTTTAGATGGACTGTCTAATAATCTAACAGGCCTGTTAGTTTGAGAGAGTGCAGGATTTGCAGTTTTGAAGCTTTACGAAGTTTGCCAATTCTGCATAGCCCATTCTCACTTGCTTTTTGCATGTCATCTCATTAAACTGAATATGAAATTTTAGCTGGGAACACTAGTCAGACTAAGAAGTAGAGGCAATAGGAAGGGTAAGACAAAGAGCAGATAAAGCCCATTTTTGTTTATTGACAATTCTTTCAATAATTCATTGTTTAAAGAATTGTTTACTGGGGCTGGCCCGGTGGCCAAGTGGTTAAGTTAGCACGCTCCACTTGGGCGGCCCAGGGTTTCGCAGGTTCGGATCCTGGGGGCGGACATGGCACTGCTTGTCAGGCCATGCTGAGGCAGCGACCCACATAGCACAACCAGAGGCACTCACAACTAGAACATACAACTATGTACTGGGGGGAGAAGAATTAAAAAAAAAAGATTGGCAACAGTTGTTAGCTCAGGTGCCAATCTTAAAAAAAATAAAGAAAGAAAAACACAATTGTTTACTGACAACTCTTCCCCTCTAAGAGGAAAAACACTATTCAGGGAACTGAGGAATTTCTTGTCACTTGTACCAATGCAGTTTTCAAATATCAAAAAAGTGGGAGGTGTTTTTATTATAGAATGATAATTACAGCGATAGCTGCCCACTTATACTGAACTCACAGGCAGCCTTCACAATTTGGGGGACTAAATCTTATGCTAGTTACTTTTTCTTTTGTAGGGCAAGATTCACCCTGAGCTAACATCTGTTGCCAGTCTTCCACTTTTATTTCTCCTCCCCCAAGCGCTAGTGCATGGTTGTAAATCCTAGCTGTAAGTCGTCACTGTTCTTCTGTGTGAGCCACCACCACAGCATGGCAACTGACAGACAGGTGGTGTGGTTCTACCACCAGGAAAGTGCCAAACTTTAGTCAGCTAGACCATCAGGGCTGGCTCAGCTAGTTACTTCTACTAATCAAAATAACATCTGAAAATAATGGAACTAGCCAAGGAGTACAATGAAAAGAAATCACTGTATACAAGATATGCCACAAGCCTGGAAGAAATGACCCTAGAGCAAAGAGCTAATATGAGGAATAGAGAAAAATCAGGGATAGAGGAGGAGGTGTAAAGTAATGTAAAGGAACAAAATTCCTTTTTGGGCTGGAGGTGGGGGGAGATTTTTGCTTTAATTTCTTTCTGCAATTGAGGGAGAGGCCCTAAAGCTGGCCCAAAGGCCTGTTAGCATGGCTTCCAGAAGTCAGAGTACCTGATCCCTGTTCTGCACAGCACTGACTTCGGGAAAGTACTTGGTCTGAACTCAGTTAGCCTGGGAAGGCTGAGTGTGATGGAAAAGAAGTTCATGTCAAATTGGAGGGCATTATCTACCTTGGTAATCACACCATGCATTCTGAAACTCCCATCTAGGTGCACTGGTTCTCCAGCCTCCTTTACATTAGGCTGGATTTGAAAGGGAACAGCTGAGCTTCTGGGAAGGACTGATGTGATGCTTACTCACGCAGATTTGGCAATTATGTACCCTAAAGGCGAGGATCTGGATACTAACACCTCTGCCTCTCTCAGAGGATGACCTTGTGGCTCTCTCTGTGTTGATGTCCTTCTAGGTCCTTTAGATAATAAACTTTGCTTAATTTACCCAAGGGGTGTCTGGTCTTTAGATCAAGAGATGACCACTGACATTAGTCAAAATGGTGGTCACACAGTCCTCAGCAGATTAAAAGAGTTTTAAAATTCCCATCAGCATGTTATTTACTTTTATAAATAACATTGAAAGACAAAACAAAACACAAAAACAAAGCTTTCTCTAAAATTTAAAATACGGTCTGAAGGGAGTGGTCTGTTTCTCTAAAAACACCCCACAAGTATTTTTGCAATGTGATTAATAGGAAACAAAGCATTCTCCTAGTTCAGTGTTCCTCCACCCTATTTTACTGTCACTTTGAAGCACTGTTACAGGAATTTGGGAAGATAATCCGACAGAAATAAAAAACATATAATGCCCTTCTCAGAATTCTCAATACTTTCCCAAACCCGCGCAGCTGAAGTCAAAATCGCTAATATGAAACTTCTAAGTATGCAAGTTTCTCTCTTTGTTAAATTACAATATGCTTAAGGGAAGGGACCCTATTTTATACTTGTTTTACATCACTCACAAGGCATCAAATAGGAACCGCTAAAGGCGATGCTTGAACATAAGGGTATTAAATTTAGGAAGGTAGGCAGTATGTACACTGGTTAGTGTGGACTTTGGTAAGAGATCTGTGTTCTAATTCTTAGCTGGCACTTTCTAGCCGTGAGATCTGGGGTAAATCATTTTCCTTTAGGAGAAATTTTAAACCCATTTAATAAATACATGGATGTGTCAAATAGAGGATCATCCGGTTGTGAACAAAGTAGGCAAGCGCCTGTCCAAAAAAAGGTCTTTCAACAGTCCAGAAGACAGAAAAACAATCTGAAAAACTGCGGAAGATCTGTAAAATGAAAATCATATCCACTTCTAAGAGTTGTGCGGATTAAATGACATAAAGCGATTACTTAGTTCAGCCCAGCACATAATTAAAGTTCAATAAGTACTAGGGACAGCTTCGCAAAGCAACGCAGATTGAAGTTTGGGTTTCACTTCCTTATCACGTGATCCCTTTCTCTTACACAGGTGGGCTCCCAGGCATTTCCACGCAAGGCCTAACAAGTGTCTATTTATACGTGTGAGAGAAGAGCCCTGGCGAAGCCGAGAGAACGAGGATAGCTAGCCAGGACAGAGGCTCAGGGTTGCCGCTTCTCCCGCCGGTCAACTCAGGGCGCCAGCGCCTGCCATCCGCGGTGAGGCCCGAGCTCCCATTGGCTAGTCTCCCTCGGAAACGCACGCCTTTTTCCGCTCCGTGGCGCTGCTGTCCAATGCACGCCTCTCCACTTCGCTCCGCCCCGCCCTCACCGCCCCGCCCCGCGGCGGGTTCGCGCCATTGGTGGATTTCCGGGGCCGTCATGGCGGCGGTGCGCGTGCGCGATCGCTCCGCAGTCCTCCTCCAGAAAAAGGAGCAAGTGGGGCCGGGGCTATCATTCTCCGCCCGAGTGAAAGGGCGGTGGCGGAGCTGGGCGGGGCCGAGCTCCAGGACTGGCGGCTGGCTGCGGTGGGGCCTGCGAGCCGCTGCGGAGTTGAGTGCCGCTCAGGCGGGGCGGGGCCGGGCGAGCGGAGTCCGCGCGCGTCCCCGCTGAGCTGCCCTCTCCGGCGGCTGCGCTGCTCGCCCGCGGCGACGTCGCGCCCGTATCGCCAGCATGACCGAGCTGCGGCAGAGGACTGCCCGCGAGCCGGACGGTCCGCCCGAGGACAAGGTAGCGGCGGCGTCGGGGTGGGCGCGGCCGGGGCAGCGGCGCCCCCGGGAGATGCGCAGGGGGCGGTGCAGAAGGGTCCTCTCGCCCTCTGACCCTTTGTCTCGGCCAACAGTGGCAGCGGGCCTGGGCAGCGCGGAGGGTCCTGGGGTGCGGGGACCCCGCGGAGCGCGCGTCGCGGGTCAGCAGGTGGGGGCTCTGGGAACAAAGTTCTGGGTCCAGTTGGGGGTGGCATCTCCGGGGCGTAGGAAGGAGGGCGCGGGGCGTTGCGCACGGCCGCCTGCCTCTTGCTGAGGTTGGGGGTCCCCTTCTTGTCCCCCACCTCCCCGAGGCCTTCTTCTTTGTGAAGACGTCGAGACCTGGCAAAGCCTCGTCTGGCAGGCGACTCCTCTGAGCCCGACTTAGGGTCTCCGCTCCCCTTTAAAATGTTATCTTTTTGGCGGGGAGTTTATCAAGACAAGGCCAGGGGATTAGCCTTTTAGGGGATTTAGATGCCTTCTTGAAAATTAAATCTGTTCGCTTTAAGCAGAGAAGTTTCTTAACTCACATAGTCAGCAGGTGTTGAAAGGATACTCCCAGTAGATGGGCTTGTTTCCTGCTTCAAGTGTGGGCATTGATGGGGTAGAGGAAGAGGATGAAAAAGAGGCCATCTTGGCGGGGATGCAGCTTGTTGAGGGGTGAGGGATGAGAGGAGTAGACTGCTTTCCTTGAAGTGAAAGGGTTGTGTAGGGGACTTGAGGCAAGTGGAGAGTGGCTATGTTGCTGTGGACGTTGAATGGCAGCATAAGGCTTGGCATTTCGAGTCTCGAGGTAGCAGTGGTCAGGAACAGTGTATTTGGTAAATGGATCTGGCAGTGATGTGTACAGTGGATTGAGGGAGCCTGGACCAGAGTGAAAGTGACTGGTTAACTCGAGGCTTTGGTGACCTGCAGATGTTTTCTTTGGTCCACATGTTGCTTTGAAAACCAGGAGATTTCTCCTAAAAGTCTGAATTTCTTGCCTGTCTTGGGTAATTGGACGATCTGCCATCATATTCCCACCTGGTTAATGTCTGGCTGGAGCTGAGGGATAGCTGTTTCCACCAATCCCTGTTGCCATACACCGGGCCCACAGCACCCACGTATATAGCTTGCAGGTTTTGATAACTGGAGGAAAGGGACATTAGGGGAGACATCAGGAAGGGAGAAAGCACAGGATTTGGTGACAGAGTGTCAACAGAGCAGTTATACGAGGAGAAATGTTTTGGGTGAACGATAATGAGGTTGTAAACAACATTTTTGTTGTTGCTATCGACAGTGGGTCATCCAAAGAGAACTCTCCGTGGTGATTTTTAGAATATATTTTGGAGAAAATTTAGGGCTTCAGTGCAAGTTTAGGAGCTGCTTGCAGAGCTAAGATACTTTGAAATCTCTAATCTTCCCATTAAATATCCTGGTGGGGCCTGCAAGAACTCTGTCCCCACCTTGCATACACTGGTTGGTGAGTATTCAGGTGTTTGGAGGCTGGGTAGCTCTGTTTAAGGATGACAGATCAGACTTGGTGTTAATGAGACTTTGTGGACCTAGAAGGTGTTAGAAGAGGGAGAAAAAAGACGGCATGATAACCAGTGGGCTATATCTTTGAAAGGTAATTATTTGTAATAACTAAGACATACTTGTCAAAACAAAACAAAACCACACACACAAAACCGCACAGGATTATGAAATGAAACAAAATTTCTACCCTCCTTACCCAACTCATTGGGTCCCTCTTCCAGGTTCTTTCCCATTCCATGTTTTAGATAGGGAGGGCAGGAGGAGCTGTCCAGCTGAAGGTGCCTTAATTTTTTACAACTGCACTTCAGCCACTTATACGGTGACAGACTGCCTGGAGCTGCGAGGTCCACTAAGTGCCCGTTGCTCCCTAAAGCGCAGTAGCTGCTGTGTTCTGCTAAAAGCCTGATGTAGTCCATTAGCCCAGAACAAGGCAATCAGCCCCTCACCCCATCACTCAGTATTTCTGAGTTATCACGTATGGGATTTTTAATAATAAAGATAACATTTTAAGAACTGTGAAATGCTTTATCTGCCTTTGATGAATGTCTATAGTATTGTTTTTAAAAATCTTGATTTATTCTATTTCATAGTTTGAAGAAACTTCCTTCCATGATTCTGACTTTGCTGATATTCTTGTGTTAGAACTTAAGAAAATTAGAAATAACAAAACAAGCATATCTTGAGAGGGAAATGAATTGTGAAATGAGAGCTTATTTCATAGTAGAGGAATTCAGAAAACACTATCAAGTCAATTCGTTAAAAGGACTGGAACAAATTTGAAAGGTTACTTTAAAACGTTACGTTTGCTTAACTGCTGTGGCAAAATTGTCTTGTAAATAAGCAGACAATCGTTAGTTTCAAAATAATCTGGAAAACATGTTTATTATGAAGGTCAGAAGATATTTTGTTATATTTAGCATCCTAGAATGGAATTTTCAAAGCCAGTTGCTAATAAAGGAAATGTTTTCCTCTGGGAATCATGCTTATGATTTTAAAGTCCCAAAGCACGGTATTGTTGCCAAACTAAGAAACTTGCAATTTAAGCTTTGGGAATGATCCTCTTCCTGTCTAACCATGCTTTTCCAGTGGAACTTAGGAAAGAAAATGATGAAACATGAGCCAAAAGATTGGCATGGTAAGATTTATGATTGGGTTGGCAGTTCAGGAGACTTCGTTTTGGAGGTTAGAGTGATGATTCTGGGGTTTTCTGCCGTGCTTAGCTACTGGAGTGTGATTTAAATTAGAGCTTTACTCCTTTGGAGGCTTCCTTTCTAGATCAATGAAAGCAGTATGGGAGGAAATAGTGACATCATTTAGAAATGGGAGTTGACATTTTAACTGAAGACAGTGTTAAAGAGCAGGCACTGAAGAGTCAGCTGGATCCATCTAGCCTGCCACTTACCGGTTGTGTAACTGAGCAAATCACTTGTATAAAAGCCTGTTTGTCCATCTCTAAAATGGAGGTGGTAAAGTAGCATATGCTTCAGAGGATATTTATGTGCATTAAATGAGTATTCATGTTACATAGGTAGGGCAGGAATTGTCACATTGTAATGATGTGTTAGCTGTTGTTGAAATATAGTTTCGTAGGAAAAAAAACTTAATATTCACCTTCCAGTCTTGGCAGATGATTAAATCTTCAAGTTATAAGTGTTGAGAGTAGTCTTTTCCTGTTCTTGCCCTTTTAAGGAAAGTGTTGTAAACAAGGCTTGGCCTTCTAGGACCTATCTTTTCAGTTCTTCTCTTGCTGAATTTTTCAGTGCTCAGAATCACAGTCGAGCTTTAGCTGTAGAAGGAGCTGTAGAAGGAGCCTTGCTGTCTGCAATTATCTTTCCTTCGTAGCACTAACTATAATATATTTGAGGACAGTGGTGAATAATTGCAAATTGTTTTCTAATAGACTTTTAAGAGGGAACTGCTGAAATGATAAAATCTTAAGAGCTGTAACTACTTCAGATGTAGGAGAAATGCTTTATTTCTTTCCAACTTTTTTTTTACGTTGAGAAATACTTCGGGCATTGAAAAATCAGTAAACCTTAACTGTGGTTCTCAGACTTAAATAGGGAGAGCAGGTGAAAGGTTGATTTGTCATATGACCCACCATTTTAAGTTTCTTCTTTAGGTTGATCAAACAGTTGAATTTTATTTTAAAAACTCAATTACTTCCCAATTTATGACTACTTAAAATTAACTTTTTTAAAAAGCTAATTTTGTTTAAAATGTTTTGTGTTTGCACAGATTCGTGATATTTCATTAGAAGAATTTATATCTTTTAAAAATGTTAAATTGGGCCGGCCTGGTGGTGCAGTGGTTAAGTGCACACGTTCCACTTCTCAGTGGCCCAGGGTTCGCTGGTTCGGATCCTGGCTGCGGACATGGCACTGCTTGGCACGCCATGCTGTGGTAGGCGTCCCACATATAAACAAGTAGAGGAAAATGGGCATGTTAGCTCAGGGCCAAGCTTCCTCAGCAAAAAGAGGAGGGCTGACAGTAGTTAGCTCAGGGCTAATCTTCCTCCAAAAAAAAGCAAAAATGTGAAATTGCTCTCATTGGTTGTTAGATCTAGAAGGCACTTTAGAGGTCTTTATTTTATACAAGAGGATGCCGTAGGCCAGAGAGTTTAACTCGTTGAAGCTCACACAGCTGGTTAGATGCAGAATGGTTAATAGTACGAAGGTTTTCTTAATTCCTGTTTTTTTCCTCATGTTGCATAATGCTGCCTTCAAGGTACAGAATTAACTTACAGACTTTACAAGCTCTGCATTGATTGATGTTAATAGAAAAGATGCCCAAATATCACCTATTTTTGTTATGTGGCTACAAAAATAGGAAAATACATCTTTCAAAATGTCAAATATATTAAAAAAAGTAAATTCTCAGTAAATGTGGAGATTCTGGGGAAAAAGGTTTTTTTTGGTAGAAAAAGTTGACTAGGTTCAGTTTTCCCAGTTATTGGATGCCTAGTGATTTATATATTTTAAGCGCATCCCTGGGAGCAGCCCCTTGGGTATCCTTGAGAGAAATGCCCAATGACGTGCGGGCTTCTCCTTGTAAGCCTGCTCGCAATACGTGCTTTCCAGTTGATGACTCTTAGTATCAGAACTGTTTGTTCTAGCAATAACCATTCATTGAATATTCAACACACCTTCTCCTTAGAACATTCTCTGGGTCCAGTGTCTGCTGTCTACGGTCTCTGTTAGCTCTGAGGGAGGGCTGGTATTTGTGTTCATGAGGAAAATGTCCAGGATTTTATACCAGTTTTGGCTCTAAATCCATTCTTTCTCCAGTGATTTGAAGAAATCATATAACCTTTGAATGCATCTGGGAAACTTTTGAAATGAATTTTGTAACTAATTTCATAGGGCAAATAATCATCCTTTAAACTGTTTGAAAAAATGTGAGCATCAGTGTTTCTGATTTGCCCACTCTTCCCTCTTTTCTGGGATCCACATAGGTGGAGTATAGGTG